TATATATATATAAATATATAAGAGAAAAATTTTATAAATATTTGATATAAATATAAAAATTTCAACAAAACCCAAATCGTTTCTTTCTTTCTTTTCTTTCCTTGGAGAGAAATCTTTTGAAAGATGGAGAGGAGCACTTTTAAAGGAAAAGTAGTCCTTCTCCAGCATCAATGGATGTTGGAAAGATTTATCCCAACAAGCCTTATCCATGAAGACAGTTTACAATTCGTGAAATTCTTAGAAAATCCTGAGTTGAAAATCTTTGTATTTAAATCCAAAATACTTGGTCAGTATATCTGCAAGAAATAAAGCTGTAGGCTATTTGCTTCTTCTTGTCAAAAAAGCAACATAAACGAGATTTAACGGGCGATTCGGTTTAAAACTCGAGTATTCCCTGCAGGAGCTACAAAATCGTCACTTGTCTTTCTTACCTTCTCCTCTTTTCTATGCTCTAAATTCCTTTCCAAACCATCAATATCTTTTCTTTTCCTATGATACTTTCTTCTTGTAAAACGTCTCTATCAAAAGAATAATTGGTTTTTCTTTGTAAAATTTTTAATTTATATTATCTTTATTCATTAGATAAGCTTTAGAGTTATTTAATACATCTTTAAAATAATTAAAAAGTATATTTTAAACCATTTAATTACGGTTGATTCAGCGCAATCGCTTGATTAATATCTGAACTTTCATTGTCAAAATCTTCAATTTTCTGCTTTAATTTAATAAATCATGGCCCTTTATTATAAATATATATTTAATATAATAATTTTAGATGTATAATACTTTTCTTAGGAAGGATTTCAGTGATTTTTAGAGGAACTATTAAATATTGTAGTTAACTTCGAAGATGATTTAATAAACATTATCGCGATCCTATGAAGTCTACAGCGCTTCCAAATTAAGAAAATAAGTGTTAGCATGGGCCTGTAAGTGTTAAAATAGTATAAATTAATATATTTGAATCATTTACAGACCTTAAAACCACGTAATTTGTGACATAAGTTAACAAATGTTTCATGGATTCACGAATTCCACCATGGTTTAAGCTAAGAAAATAAGTGTTAAAATGGTCTATGAATGCCAAAATAGCTCATAAATCTTCAAACTACATAAAAATTAGCACAAACTTTACGAATTTACATAATCAGGCCATCAAAAAGATGAAATATAAAGCGATTTTTTCGATTTATTAAGACATTTCTTTCCAAATTTCTATACTTTATTGATTTAAAGGCATTCTACAAAGTAAAGAAAAATGATTTTTCCAGTTTTCTGATGCATCGAAAACATGCAAGACTACATTTCAGCTAAGTCTTTTACGTAGTTTATAAACGAATAGTTTCCTTGTTACCGTACTATAGAAATCAGCTGAATCAGCAGCACACCATTTGGATTTTCGAATATATCTTATTTCTATGACTTTTTTAGAATTATCAAATATTGCATATTCAATTTTTTAAACTCTACTATAAAATATAAAGAAATTTCGTGCTTGAAACCCGATAAGGAGCTTGAAACGCGATGCTCTACCTTACATTTATCCTTGATAAATTAACAAATTTTAAAGCTGTTTTAGGTTTAAAATATGAAAAAGTATTATATAAATGGTTATTTCTTGAATTAATATAATCAATTTGTTTAAAATAAGCTTTCAATAGAGGAAAAATGTCATAAAAAGTTGGAAGATGCGGATGAAGTTTCATCATTTTCCATAGAGGAAAGTCAATCAAGAAAATGAAATAAAATTTAAAATTTTTGCATTTTTATAAAACAGACACAATAAATAAATCATACATTAATAAAAATTTACAAAAATTTGCTAAAAATTAAATAATTTTAACGATTTTTCTACACAGTTTTGTCTTAAGCATCCCTTAAAGATTTTAACAAATAAGTTGATTTTAAACGCTTAAAAAATAAATTTATGTTATAAAAATGTATTAATTAATAAGAAATTAAAATATTTTCTTAATAAATTTTACTTAGAAATGAATATTTATTAGGAAAAATTAATTTTAAAACTCATCAAAATTCATCCAATAAATTGAATTGTTGCAAAGAGGGAAAAGAAGAAAAAAATTAAATTTTTATAATTCGATACTTTTACAAACATTTCGTATAATTTTATAATCCAATTACGCATAGAATATTAAAACACACTTTAAGTTCAATTATAAGATCTTAATTAGTGAGAAATTCCTTCATAATTGAATATATATTGTTAAGTCAAATAAGAAAATGCATTTATTTACCACATAAACGTTACAACTAATTAAAATTGATGGAAAATAAGGAAAGGAAAAGGAGGGGGAAGTAAGGAAAGAATTTTATAATTTTTACAGAATAATTCTCCTTCAAGTTCTGTTGGAAAATTCCCCCCAACTTTTCTCAAGCTTTGTTTATTATTTAAAATAAACAGGGAAATTTTTCTTAAACATTGTTTGTGATTTATTGTAGATAATTAATTTGTGTTGCTAGATTCGTTCGGTGTTATCATTTGTAGTAATGACATAAATCCTCTTGGTGTGACGACCGAACCAATTATCTCACTTCAGGTGAAGACATGGTTCCAGAATCGTCGTATGAAACACAAGAAACAAATGAGAAAAATGACGGAAGAGACAGTAAGCAAACACGATCATTTATTATCCTCGAGGACAGATGATATAGCAAACAGGTTGAGGGATGCTGACTCCTTTTCCGAACCAGAAGTCGACGTTGTAGGAGAAGAGAATCATTAAAGGATGCTGGAGAGAAAGATGGATGAAGATGATGAAAGATCAGGGATGCTGGAGACTGTACAGTACACTTATCAGGAAAGATTTTGAAAACTTTTATTAAAGAAAACAAAAATTGTATTGTAGTTTTTCTTCTTTGTTTTTTTTTCATTTTATTTGACGCGAATTCCTATAAATTAAAGGGATTTGTTTAACAGAATTTTTGAGAATGTTCTCATTGTTTTCTTGTGTCCATCATTTAGAAACAAGCCCTTTATTTTTCTCTTTTATTTTGACGTGATAGGATTTATAAAAAGTGATAATAAAGTATCGAATTCTTCAATTTATTTGTTTGTTATTTTAAAATTTAGTTTTAGAAATGTAATATAAGAAAAATTAACAAAAATTTCGATTTATACACGTCAAATTAACATTAAGTTAGTGTTTCAACCTTAGAACTTAATTAACTCAATACTTAATTAAATAATTATACTTTTTGAAGGTAAAATTTAATATCTAAGTACTTAAAATGATTCAAATTTACAAATATTCTACTTAATTTTAACATAATTTTTAATTTTGAGCCCAAGGACTAACAATAATTTAGTGTTTCTACTCTATACTTAGAAGTAAATTATCTCAATTAAATGTTTAAAAAATGAATATTTTAGTACATAAAATGCTTTAAAATTATAATTATGGTTTATTTTACTGATTTTTAGTATAATTTTTTAATTAATAGACCCAGAAAACAATTAAAATTAACATTAATTATATGCATCCATTTAACACTTAAACGCGACAAAATATATTCATTAAATCGATATTTTAGTAAATAAAATTGATTTAAATTTATAAATATTTTTATTTTATTGATTTTTACACGCAATTAACACTGAGAAATAAGAAAATGTTATTTTAATTAAGTAGCATTCAACTCGTTTTATTAAAACTTAAGCTTTAATATGTAACAGAAAATGAAGAGGAAGAAGAAGAAAAAAATAATTTTTATGAAATGNATGTATAAGTTCTATAAAATATAATGTATACAATAAGTTTTATAATATATAATTAATCATATTTTCAATATAAAATTATTATATGTTAAATTCTTAGAGTGTAATTTTTAGTTCTTTAAGTCGAAAATTTTAATTAATTTAGTTTTTAAAATAAAATTTTTTACTTTAATTTAAATTTATTTGAAATTATAAAGTTATTTTATAATAATTTTACATAAAAATAGACAAAAATCGAGTTGGGTATGATGCAGAAGATGCTGCAGGAAAATCATCCTCCGCATCATTCTTACTTATTCAATTGCTAATTTTACAAATAATTTATACTGATATTATGATATTCCAGTATCATTATCATAACTCGAAGCTATTTTTAATAAAAAAATTGTCAAAACTAATTCTTTAAAATAATCCTCAGCATCATCTAGAGGGATGCTTACACGGAACAATCAATTTTCCATATGATTTCTATAGAGAAATAATTAATTGCATGATTAAATCAGTTAAATTATTGTAGCTAAAGCTGTAAAAGTAGTCATCCAGGACAATTTCTAGTCACTGACAGGACTATGTCATTGGGAGAAGTCCATGGGGATTTGTTTCTCCCCTCTAACACGACTACTGACATAGGAAACTATTCTATTGGGAAATGCTCGTTATCTTAGGCTATTGTTATCAAATGGTGAGCAGTTGGCAGTGGCTTAAGCGTATAACATACACATGTCACTCAGCCATATGACCAATCCACTACAATGGATACCAATAGAAACCTGTAGCTACAGAACAAACGTGATAATCTATAACTTTAAACGAACCACCCCAATAATTACACGCTTTAATTCGTTAAATAAACAAAATTAGAGGGGTATAAATTTAATAATTTGTAACTTTATAATCGTTAGAATGTCCCCTTTATATATTTACAACAGATTTGTAATTGTAATATTAAAAATTGTCTAATAATTTACGTTTTTTCTTCGGATATCTCCGTAAGCGACTCGAGCGACGAATGATGGATTTGTTTTTAAATCTATATTTCTATTTATAAAAAATTAAATTTTTATAATTCGATACTTTTACAAACATTTCGTATAATTTTATAATCCAATTACGCATAGAATATTAAAACACACTTTAAGTTCAATTATAAGATCTTAATTAGTGAGAAATTCCTTCATAATTGAATATATATTGTTAAGTCAAATAAGAAAATGCATTTATTTACCACATAAACGTTACAACTAATTAAAATTGATGGAAAATAAGGAAAGGAAAAGGAGGGGGAAGTAAGGAAAGAATTTTATAATTTTTACAGAATAATTCTCCTTCAAGTTCTGTTGGAAAATTCCCCCCAACTTTTCTCAAGCTTTGTTTATTATTTAAAATAAACAGGGAAATTTTTCTTAAACATTGTTTGTGATTTATTGTAGATAATTAATTTGTGTTGCTAGATTCGTTCGGTGTTATCATTTGTAGTAATGACATAAATCCTCTTGGTGTGACGACCGAACCAATTATCTCACTTCAGGTGAAGACATGGTTCCAGAATCGTCGTATGAAACACAAGAAACAAATGAGAAAAATGACGGAAGAGACAGTAAGCAAACACGATCATTTATTATCCTCGAGGACAGATGATATAGCAAACAGGTTGAGGGATGCTGACTCCTTTTCCGAACCAGAAGTCGACGTTGTAGGAGAAGAGAATCATTAAAGGATGCTGGAGAGAAAGATGGATGNGCATTAAAAATTCTAATTTAACCAGAATTTAACATTTTTTTAACATGAAAAAACAGTTTTTTTGGTAGAAAGAACATTAAATTTTATAGCGAAATAAACGTCAAACGTGTTTTTTTAGAAAGAGGGATAGATATTTCTTTCCATGTCATCATCCAGTTTTGCTTTTCCAACAAGAAATGTGTCTCCATTCAAATACTTGCGACACTTGGAAAGCTTTTGTCCAGGTTCCTTCATAATCCGATTGAACACTTTGGGGACTTTCTAAAAAATAAAAAAAAATATCTAAAAAATAGCTGTGTAGAAAGTTATATCCGATAAGTAGAAAAATTTCATATTCAACAAAAACAAAGGCCTATATATATATATATAACGTGTGTGCTTAAATGTATAAAAATATAATAAAATTCGTTAAAAACATTATAAAAATTATTCTAAAAATTCTTTTAAATTTATTTTAAAGTTATATAATTAGAAAAATCTCTAAGTATTCATCGCAATCAAACGATTTATCAAGTTAACTTGAATAAAATTAGACTCATTTCTTTAATTGTTTCAAGAGATTTTTAAGATTATAATCAGTTTTTTTAATGTTTATGGTTATGAAAGTTCATAAAAACAATATTATAAGCAAATAATTATATTTTTTCGACTAAAATGAATTACTCATTATCGTCCTCATCCTCATCCTCCGCATTTTTTTAATTCTGACTTTTATTTTCTTCTATGCTTTAAATTATTTTTATTTTTATATTAATCTTCGTAATTTTGGTTTAATTTATTAGATTAATTTAATGAATAATTTTAATTTTTAATTGTTTATTTAGCGATAACTTTCCATAGGATACAGACATTTTTATGCTTGTAATATACTTCTATGGTTATTTTAAGAGGTTTTTATGATCATAAAAGAATTATTTATACGATAATAGACTTTTGCAGTTATAATATTGTGTTTTAAAGAACATTTTATAAGCATACAATTCTATTTTAAGAGATTTTTATAACTAAATACATTAGTTATTATTATCCGCATCCTCATCTTCCGCATCTTTACAATTTACTTGTTTTACCTTTTAAAGTATATAAAAAGCAATAAATAAATTTTAATTAGTTAAATTATTAAAAATTTAAATTCTGAAAATATATTTTACGTTAAGTTTCCTTTTAAATAAGTTTCATTCTCATAAATAAACAATTTATAAAAGGTGTAGAGAGCAACAAGATGACGAATATTTTCCGTATTTTAATTAATGTTATTAAATTAATTTTAATATAAAAATTAAAAAAGTAGAATATTTAAAAAGGAAATTTATATAAAAATGTATTCAAACTAGTTATTATTTGAAATTTTTCCAAATTTCAAGAAGCGCAAGTAATGATTCTGACATTTTTTTTTCCTCTTCCTCCTCCTCCTCCTTTCTTCCATGATGCAAATGTTAACAATACGTTGAAAAAATATATATACATACATACATACATAAATATATATCTTTTCTATATATTATTATTATTTCTTCTACTTCTTCTTTTTATTATTTGAAAGAATTCATTATTCTTGCAACTTTACAAAACTAACAAGTGAGAGTAAATTCGTCAAAACCTTAGTGATGGAGTAGTAGAGTGGATACGATGCTCGTCCAATCCCAAGCAATGATATTTGTGTGACACGTGGATGTGGCAGCATCCTTCTAAACAAGAATCATTTAGAAACATTGCCATGTTATCAACTGGATGATAAGAAGAGTCGTTGAATGTGCAGTGACGAAGTAGGTATTGATAAAGTTGTCAGCTCTTTTGGTAAACCACTGCACCCAGTGACAGGATGGGAGTTGTAGTAAATTGAATCAATTTGCCGCTCAAATTATTTAACAAACTAACTCGTTTTGCTTCATCCACTGACTATCAGCCATCTTTAACTTTGTTTGCTTCCAGTAAATTGGTAGAGCGGACGTGACTGAAGGACATTTCGTCCTAGTACAATTAGGCAGAGTTCAGACGAACATCAGAGATAAGCTTGTCCATCAGAGCTCTTACAAACTGGCTGCAACCGAATCAATTATTGGCCAATTAGCACGTCAGAAATCCGGTTAAGCTTGTAATCAAGTACAGAACAATATGGTCTGTGGCTAAAAACTAATAGACTTTATTATGTAAACAATAGAAGCTCTTCCTTTCAATTTCGACAAATATAATTTATTAACTTTCTTTACTTACAAACTAAATGCATTAGTCATCATCGTTCTCATCCTCCTCCGCATCCTTATCATTTTTCTTTTCTTCTATCCTTAAATTATCTTATTTATAATAAAAAATAATTAATATAAGATAATTTTTGCTCCGTTTNGGAGCAGGAAGATTGACGTTTTCCTGTGTATAATACACAGTATATATATTAATTTTCGTTCTTCTCTGATCATCTTTGTCTGTAGCATTAAGTAAAAGCATACTTTCTCTTTTTATTGTATATATATATATAAGTCTTCTAAAAAGTAGTATCGCCCTTTATAAATTATTCAACAGTCTATAATTTATTCTGTAAATTACCTTTGTATTTACTTTTAAATAAAAACAAAAATATATTATTTATCTTTACTGGAAGAGCGAGAAGATGAGCATCTTCTTTCACATACATTAAGCGTTATCATTTTATGGTTACTTCTATATCTTATTTCTTGCATATAATAATAAATAAAAGTAAAATAAAGATATTTTATCTTACAGGAAGATGAAAATATTCATGTTTTTTCTACAAAATAATTTACTTTTATTATTTTATTGAATAATGTACATAAAAGATAACACTTTAAACGTTATGAGAGAATTTCCTCGTGTTAAATTAATATTAATTTAAGCATTTATCATATTTAAATTAATAGATTTTTTCATGAATAAAATTTAAAATATACATAATTTTATTATTAAAATAAATACATTTATATACAAAAATTGTTTTTGAAGTAAGAATGAATATACATCTTCATTTTCTTTATTCTATTCCTGTAACTGTATCAAGTCTACGAAGATACAGACATGTTTTTATGATAATTAAATCGCTAATATTTTTATTTTTAAATAAAAAATAAACGAATAACAATAAAAATAAATAAATTCAGTAATTAATTAAATTATTTAATGAGAAATAAATAATATTTTAAAGTATACTTTTAACGTAAACGTATTAAGATCGTACATCTATACAAATATTTAAATTATAAACTTATATTTAATTATTTACTAAATTTAATAACCTAGATAATGGTATTTTCTATTAATTTAAATCATTAATTATTAATTTACAATCTTAATTTTATTTAAATTTACTCAATTTATCCGTTAATATATAAACTTACACATAGGCCTAAGAGTGCATCTTTCATCCTTGGAGCAGGAAGATTTGCAAATTAAAGATAAAAATTTATGAAAAACAAACAAAAATACGAATAAAACACATTTATTTGTTGATTCTAAATAAAAGAAACATGTTTATTTGAGAATTTCGTAATAACAAAAGGCATTTTTTTCAAAATAATAAATTAGAATCTTATAATCCAGAAGAAAGGTTAAAATATAATTTATTTCATATTTTTCTTAAAGAATTTTATCCATGATCATAAACAAATTTGACGGTGTATTAAATTATATTTTGTAGTCAATAAGTCTCATCATGTGAGAGCTTATCTTTTGAGTAGTAGATGTACATTGGTAGAGAACTCTCTTGTTTCTTGTAAACCACTTCGACTCGATATGAATCTAATAAAAGAGAGAAAAACAACATAAATTGAACTAAAATTTTTGTTTTATCTTTAGTTTAATAGAGGATACTCTACTCTAAAATAATATAAAGAATTGATACAGTTCTCTTGGCTTAATTTCTAACGACGTTTACTCAATATTAAGTGGATTATTTGCCTTACAAAATCAAAATTTTCGTAACGTTTAACTTAAATTTAACAACACCAAACGATCGCCTAATTATCGGGCTATAATATGGCTATTTTAAATGATTGGAACTAAGTAATATAAATTTAAAACTTTAATTATTTTATAACCATTCGAGTTGAAAAACATTCTTAGAAACGTGTTCAGTTTAATGACGACGAAGCCTACAATAAGGAGGAAGATGCGGATTATCATCCGCATCCTCCTCATAAACATATTATTATTATCCGCATCATCTAATGAGAAAGATGCGGAAGATAGTGATATATTTTAGAGAATCCAATCATCATCCTATACTTTAAATTTAAAACAATTAATTATCATCAAACGCAAGTTATAAAAAAACAAAAATAAAATATTTTTTTTCTAGATGGAGCTAAGTTTATACACTACATAAAGACTCGATTTAAATCGTGTTTACTTGAAAGAAAACTAATTTTTATCGAAAAAAAACGTATAAAAACCTAAGGCTATTTTCATAAACAGCCTTATAAATGCCTGGCAGCTTATAAATGTATAAAATTCACTAGTAAAGTTGGAAAGGCGCGTGTATAGGCGACGTTAAGGTAAAAAAAGAATATGTGAAAAATTGAAGAAAAATCAACAAATTTCTACATAATCGGAAACATTTTGAGATTAGTTAAACAACCAAAATTAATTTTCGATTGTAAAGCCGGGCTATAAACATTGTAATGGTGATTTGACGTCTTATCTAACAAACAGTGAAATGGCAACAGAGGATAAGAGAGAGCAAGAGAGAGAGGGAGAACGAGAGAAAGAGAGAGAGAGAGAGTATTCATTTAATACCTTTATTCTCAGTCCTAACCATGTCTTCTAGCTAATTTATCAAGCACCTAATCTCCTTGAATCGTGGCTCTGGGACAATCACTTTAATAAGCGATTGCTACATTTACTTAATTGCCTCCACAAGGGCCAAAGATCGTCCTTGTTACGACCTGATTCTCGTGTCGGCTACATTAAATCCCTTATATTTTCCAATTACACAGACTAACGTTACTGCTTTACACGTACAACAAAGTCGGCAGTCTTTAGCTAGGTAGTAGCAGAGCATGAGTTGCCGACACAGGACTCGGTAATCCGCTTTGACATGAAGGATTAACTAGGCCCCGCAGGGCTTGCTTGCACAACGTGTGTGTGCCGTATAATTAATTGCAGTATTTACTTTTCCAAGAGACCTAGGGGAGGAGCGAGACGATTTGCTAGCTGGACGTGTTCAAAAAAGGACCCGACGCTGTCTTGAGTGTGAGAAGCTTAAACATCGAGCCAAGCCAATACGGCTTTAATACACACGCTTCGGGCATTAAGACTAACAGCTAGGAGTGTCGCTGGCGATTGTTTGTTCCTTATTTTCTAGCTGGTCGCGGTACAGCTCAGGGGATGTCGAACTACTGCGAGGTGATGATCTGACAAATGACAAGATGCTGCATTCCACACGCTAACTAGTCGCTCTCCATCCTCTCTCCTCTTCTCTCTCTTCATCTAAGGAATATAAGGAATGTCGCCCTTTATAAACCATTATCGGTTTCTTTTGTGGTTTGCCTGACTGTGTATGTATCATTAAATAAAAATAAAAAAAAACAATATCAAATTTTATAGGAGGAGCAGGAAGATGGACGTTTTCCTGTGTATAATACACAGTATATATATTAATTTTCGTTCTTCTCTGATCATCTTTGTCTGTAGCATTAAGTAAAAGCATACTTTCTCTTTTTATTGTATATATATATATAAGTCTTCTAAAAAGTAGTATCGCCCTTTATAAATTATTCAACAGTCTATAATTTATTCTGTAAATTACCTTTGTATTTACTTTTAAATAAAAACAAAAATATATTATTTATCTTTACTGGAAGAGCGAGAAGATGAGCATCTTCTTTCACATACATTAAGCGTTATCATTTTATGGTTACTTCTATATCTTATTTCTTGCATATAATAATAAATAAAAGTAAAATAAAGATATTTTATCTTACAGGAAGATGAAAATATTCATGTTTTTTCTACAAAATAATTTACTTTTATTATTTTATTGAATAATGTACATAAAAGATAACACTTTAAACGTTATGAGAGAATTTCCTCGTGTTAAATTAATATTAATTTAAGCATTTATCATATTTAAATTAATAGATTTTTTCATGAATAAAATTTAAAATATACATAATTTTATTATTAAAATAAATACATTTATATACAAAAATTGTTTTTGAAGTAAGAATGAATATACATCTTCATTTTCTTTATTCTATTCCTGTAACTGTATCAAGTCTACGAAGATACAGACATGTTTTTATGATAATTAAATCGCTAATATTTTTATTTTTAAATAAAAAATAAACGAATAACAATAAAAATAAATAAATTCAGTAATTAATTAAATTATTTAATGAGAAATAAATAATATTTTAAAGTATACTTTTAACGTAAACGTATTAAGATCGTACATCTATACAAATATTTAAATTATAAACTTATATTTAATTATTTACTAAATTTAATAACCTAGATAATGGTATTTTCTATTAATTTAAATCATTAATTATTAATTTACAATCTTAATTTTATTTAAATTTACTCAATTTATCCGTTAATATATAAACTTACACATAGGCCTAAGAGTGCATCTTTCATCCTTGGAGCAGGAAGATTTGCAAATTAAAGATAAAAATTTATGAAAAACAAACAAAAATACGAATAAAACACATTTATTTGTTGATTCTAAATAAAAGAAACATGTTTATTTGAGAATTTCGTAATAACAAAAGGCATTTTTTTCAAAATAATAAATTAGAATCTTATAATCCAGAAGAAAGGTTAAAATATAATTTATTTCATATTTTTCTTAAAGAATTTTATCCATGATCATAAACAAATTTGACGGTGTATTAAATTATATTTTGTAGTCAATAAGTCTCATCATGTGAGAGCTTATCTTTTGAGTAGTAGATGTACATTGGTAGAGAACTCTCTTGTTTCTTGTAAACCACTTCGACTCGATATGAATCTAATAAAAGAGAGAAAAACAACATAAATTGAACTAAAATTTTTGTTTTATCTTTAGTTTAATAGAGGATACTCTACTCTAAAATAATATAAAGAATTGATACAGTTCTCTTGGCTTAATTTCTAACGACGTTTACTCAATATTAAGTGGATTATTTGCCTTACAAAATCAAAATTTTCGTAACGTTTAACTTAAATTTAACAACACCAAACGATCGCCTAATTATCGGGCTATAATATGGCTATTTTAAATGATTGGAACTAAGTAATTGTCAAATTACTTAGTTCCAATCATTTAAAATAGCCATATTATAGCCCGATAATTAGGCGATCGTTTGGTGTTGTTATTATCTACTCGGGCTGTGAGTTGATGTTTATATATCTTAAATTTAACGTTAAATCAAATATAAAACGAATAAAATGCAATTTTCTGAATTAAATTTATGCGTTTTTTACGTTAATTCCTTAATTAAACGTAAAAAATGTATATGTTAACAGCAGATTTTTATCTCGATCCTGATGCTCTTGTATGGAATTTACACTTAATTTTTGTTTTTTAAATGAATTTTAAGCATATTTTACACTTAAAAATGGACAAAAAACAATATTTGTTGTCGATTATTCTTAATTTTTACCATTTATCCACGAAAATACGTAGTTAAAACTTTAGTTAAATTGCTACCTTGGCCAATATTAAGTGTTATAATTATAAAGTATTTAGCTTTTAAACTCTATATTTTAATAATATTTAACCTTAAATTTAATGTAAATTAGATATAGAACGAATATAATACAATTCCCTTTCTTAAATATATAAATTTTTACCTTTTAATCATTAAATAAAGGTAGAAATTTGAAAATTAAGATGCTCTTTTATGGAATTAATATTAATTTCTATGCACATTTTACACTTAAAAATGAATATAAAAATGGACATTTTTTATTGCTTAATTAACTTTTAATATTAAAAAGTTTATTGTTTATAGATTTATTTAACGTTTTATCTACTGAAAATCTTAATCTTTATCCTTACTCTAGCATCATCATAAGCTTCCTCTTCCGCATCAATTTCATCTTTATTCCAGCATCACTAACGATGCTAGAATAAATATATAACTTATATTAAGTATTAATTAAATAATATTTNATGTTAAAGGATAAAAATATTTACAAAGGATTTTTTATGTATAAAAAAGTAAAAAATAATTTTATTTTTATTAAGATTTTCATTATAGTAATCAAATTCTACAGTAGACCGTTTTACGACCGCACGCTTTACATCACTCGCTCTTACATCTGATCAAACTTTTACATTATAATCGCATAAAATGTCGCATTTGAGCATTGAATTACTTCTATAGTTATTCCTCTGAAACACTACACATTTTAAACTGTAATTTTATAAATAATTTCAAAGTACTACACCGAAATTATGAAAATAGTAGGGCTCGCTTCACGACGGTTTACTAGGAAGCGATTAAGACGTAAAATTGGGAATTCTATTGCATTTTAATGATAAAAATAGATAAAATTAATTGAAAAATGAATAAAATTGATATTAAAACCAATATATCTAATGAAATATAACTTAATTTTAAGATTATTAGAATTAATTTAGGACTTTGCATTATCGTTGATAAACTGAATTAGTGATTACACCTTAGGGCTTGGATTCGAGCGATTTTATTATAGTTTAAACGTGAAAATGTCAAATATTATGATTAACTTGTAATTAAATAATTCCATTTTAAGTCCTTATTAAATATTTAAACTATTCTTGACAATAATTTAAGGATAGAAAAGCTTAATTACAATAGTCTAAGGAATGAGCATCACTCTCTCTTTGATTTATAAACTGCATAAAAATTACACTTTTTAAAATTCATTTTCGGATATTTCAAACTTGTATAATTTAAATTATTCTAAATGATAATTAACATTATAATAATATAAAATTAAGACAATTAAACTATATTTAACCTATATTTATATTTTTCTTGGCTATAAGCTTAATGTAAATGTAGTTAAACTACGTTTATTAAATAGGCTAAGTTAAATTATTTAGTTTAATTGCTAAGGTAAGGCAATTAAGCTAAATCTAAATTAAAATAAGGTTAAACTCTAATTTAATTTGTCTAAATGATAAGTAATATTATATCAGTTAGATGCTTAATAATTAGTTATATTAAGTGTGAAATCTTCATCATAATTAACTTAAATTATAAAACTTAGTTAATTTTTAATGTATTTTAAGAAAAATATCATTAAAAGATCGCATTTTAATTGTTTTTTTTTTTTTTGCTAGAAAATTAGCTTCAAAATAGTGTAATTTCTTGCTTCATCTTTTATGATCTGATGAAGAAAAATCATTTTTAATTCATTTATATTCTTAGAAATTAAAATATATTAAATTTAATTTAATTATAAAACGCACATTTTAAGAGAAAAATCCATTTTTGAAGTTAAAATTCGTAATTCCTGCAAGCAATTTTAATTGAGATGGAGGAGGATGCAATGATAACATTATCAAATTTAAGTTTAAATTATTAACTATCCGCATCATTTTCATGAATTTTTCTAATGTGTATGCGATGCTAACGTTAACTAAATATGAATAATATAATTATTTATTTATTTCATTAAGAAAATAATTACAAAAAGTTAACTAATTATCACCTGGTTATAAATAAAATTAACTAGTTTCTCTAATTATTAATCAAATTTTAGAATTAATGAGTTAAAATATGTTCTTTTCAGTACATTTATCTCGTATTAAGCTTCCATTGTTCGCTAATTATTATCTGTATTATAATTTTCATCTTCATTTGCCACTATTCATTATCCAGTTTGTATAAAGATACGCATTCTACACTTGTTTATAACATGTTTTTGCTCTTAATAACAATTAATAATTAATTATCATCATTTCTAGTTGTTATTTATGCAATAATAAAGGGTCAGATGATATATATTATACAATTTTTTCTTCTGGCATCAATTGATCCATTCGATGATAACCTTGCTACATCACCTCTGCATCCTGAAACAGTAGAGAAAATAACATATAAATCATCATTATTTTTAATAAAATATTTATTTTAGTGAGTTTAAATTCCTAAAAAAAACAATAATTAATTATAAATCATGTTTAAATTCTAAAAACCTCATAAATTTAGCTAAAAAATGTTAATTTGTATAGTAATTATTCTAATTATCCTACAAATTTTCTGTGCATATTTATAAGAATATAACACATTAAATCGTAAAAAGCACTTTGTCAGAAGTTAAAAATAATTAATTTAATTATATTACATCTTTCTTAAAATGCAAACCTCACAAATAAATCTATCATCATCTTTTAAAACTCATAGTTTATCATCAAGAATCTTGCTTTTATCATCCGTTTTTGCATTATTTTTCAAAGAAATTTAATTATTTGGATATAGAATAATTATTTTCTAGAAGAAAACAAGAATTTATTATTATTATTTTGATCTTTATCAGCTATAATTTAATAATTTTAATTACTATTTGAAAGCGTATTACTCGAAAGCTTATCATAAAAAGTAACTAAATCTAATACTTTTGCATTTAAATATGATTCTAAACTCAATTATCATTTAATTTTGTTATTATTAATATAAATTTTATCCATTTTAAGAAAATAAATTAGTTTGGAGAATGTAATTCTTACATTCTCCAAACTAATTTATCTATTTTCTTTGAACGTAATTAGTGCTAAATTCTAAAGACAATTTTTATTCTAAATTCTAAAAATGATGTTTATTTATTATTTGGCACTAATTACAATTAAGAATTATTCAAAAATCTTTCTAAATTCTTGATTAAATATCAGAATTTCCTAATATATCTTGGTATACAGTACGTTCGCACTGGCCATAAGCATCTTCATCCTGATTAAAGCTAAATTCTTATTCCTGTGCCAATATTTCTTTATATATTTTGTTATACGCGTGTGGATAGGATGTAGTTGTCGCCAATGATGTGCTTAAGTCTATATTTTCCACGAACCAAGTTCTGCTAACAGCCCGTTTGACTAAAAATTGATTTTTCCTATTGCGTATTACTGTTGCTGATCTTCCAATGAGATTCATCGTCTCCACCGCACATTTATCGTCCTTCATACCCACAAATGTTAATAAAAATATATATTTCATTTCACTTTACACTTTATTTTTCTTTATAAAACGTAAATCTCCTAATACCACCCTTATGAAAACGACTCAAAAAAATGTCTCTAAAAAATTATAATGTAACCTTGTTTGAATCAGTTTTTCTCCTTTAAATTTGTGTAATTTACGCAGAAACGGTTAACTTAAAACCTTTAAAATATTCTTAAGACATTTACTTACTTATATATAGTAGGAAAACCTCTAAAAAATCATCTATTTAGCTTGTACTTTGTCTTGTTTTCCATACAGAAAAATTAGTCTCTAAGTGTTCGTGAATCCACCAATTATTCCTTCATAAATTTATATAATTTATATATATAAATTGTTAAATTAAAGTAAATATTATTTATACATAACATTTATTTACTTATTTAACAAGGAAAATTCCCTAAAATTCAAGAATTATCCCTCAATACGTCTACTTACAATTTAAACAAATCAGTAGTTAAACTACGTTTATTAAATAGGCTAAGTTAAATTATTTAGTTTAATTGCTAAGGTAAGGCAATTAAGGTAAATCTAAATTAAAATAAGGTTAAACTCTAATTTAATTTGTCTAAATGATAAGTAATATTATATCAGTTAGATGCTTAATAATTAGTTATATTAAGTGTGAAATCTTCATCATAATTAACTTAAATTATAAAACTTAGTTAATTTTTAATGTATTTTAAGAAAAATATCATTAAAAGATCGCATTTTAATTGTTTTTTTTTTTTTTGCTAGAAAATTAGCTTCAAAATAGTGTAATTTCTTGCTTCAGNCACAGATAAAACAATTTACCACAACAGACCAGACATCACACTCATTGACAAACACAATAAAATCACATACATTATAGACATAGCCATTCCAAACACTCACAATGTACAAAACACATGCACTGAAAAAATTAGCAAGTACACAGAACTCGCCCAGGAAATAAGGCATCTGTGGAGGATGGATAGGGTGCTTATTGTACCTGTCATTCTCTCCTGTACAGGTGTGATACCACACACACTACACAAAAGCCTGGGAACATTACAATTGAGTAGAAATACATACATCACACTACAGAAGGCCACTATATTGAATACATGTCACATTGTTAGGAAATTTCTGAATACAGATACACACACTGACACACTTCTTTAATTTTAGTTTTGTTTTGGTTGCTATGCCTTGACTTTGGTCCGGCATAGTACACAGCCACCGGTGTGAACCGAGTATAACTCACAAAACAACAACAATAATAATTAAAAGTAACAAACACTGAAAACATCAATTTTTCTTAGAATTGTTCAAAATTATGCTGAAGTTCTCACTATTTTTTTATTAATTAATTTTTTTCTCATTTTCTGTTTTAAGTGCAGTCTTGGAATAAATTTTTTGTGTAATTGTTGTTTTTTAATAAGGAATTTTAATTTTAGTTTTATTAAATTATAAAAATTACTATATGTGTATTAATCTTGCATTAACAAGATTAATTCACATATAGTAATTTTTAATATATTTATGACATATCATATTACATTTTATAGTATCATATGTATTTATTATGTAACTTTATTCAATTTTGTTTGATATGTAATCAAATTTGATGATATATACATATATATCAATATGTAAAATATATTTTTTTTAAAGTTTTAAACTAAAGTTTATTGTGCTTTGTGTAGTAGATATAGCTTAATTATTGATGTATATATATTTTAATAATAATTTAGAAAAAGTAAATTACATAAAATTGTTTTGTGTATGTGATAGGATATCAAATATTAGAATAAACGTCATTCTAAATAAAAGTAGATACTTACAGGATGTAGAAACTATGACAGCTCATTTTGAAACTTTCATTCAGAAAGTAATGAAATTCCAAAGAATTTCTTAGAGGTAACTGGTCATTTAAACATAATGAAAACCAAATACTTTCTGGAGTACTTTCAATTTTTTAGTAACATACTTAGCTGAATTTTATAAAGAATTAAAAATTTTTTTATTAGTTTAATTTTTATGAAAATGTCAAAACATTTTATATAATATCTACAAAGTAAAATTCATTAAACATGATATAACAATTTTGGACTGAAAAATAACTGTAAACTGACAAATTAACAAATCTGTACATAGAGAGAATCAATGGAGGTAAGAAAAAATAGTGTTATTGGAATAAAATATGTACAGGAAAACAAGGGTAATGGAAAATCAGTTTTAATATATAATAATCCTATAAATACTTATTTTATAATTTAAAAGATGCACTTTTTCTTTAAAACTGTCTTCCCTGTATGTCAGGTGGCATTCGACAGAGAAACAAACACCACAGGGACAGATAAAATTTTCAAAAATAAAATTGCATTTTGTTGGATTAACAAATCCAGTGATTATAAATTTTTTTTAGTCTACTGCTGAGAAATTCTTTCCTTACACTATATTTATGTATACAGTCTGTGAATATCTTTACATTTAAATTATAAATATCAAAATTCTACTGAATTTATTAATAAAAGATAGATATACACAGAAGTTTATATTTAAAAACAAACTATTTAAAATGTTCATTTAAAATTGTAAATTTTATTATTTATATATTAAAAATTAATTTGATTTACATGTTATTCAGGATACATTCTTTCTTCCTTAATATTTTATTATTTTATATATCATCAAACTGAATTTTTAATAATAAAGAAATGAAATAAAGAGGAATAAGTAGGAGGATTTCATTAAAATTCTTTTCGTTATTCTTCTTTACTTGTTATTTTCTAATGGAAACATTTAATTCATATAAAAATACTACATTTTAATACCATATAATTGTAATTTTTTTAAATTTTATAATAATTTTTTTTATTAAACTTTATAGATTTTAAATTATATTTCCATATTTAATGATGCTTAAGAACATTAGCCAAAATATAATAATAATGTAATTTTACAGTTTAAACTTGCCAGTTTTCATCAGTAAAAAACATTGTTTATCAAGATAATGGATAAATTTTTACAACTTATGCTAATTTAATGCCATTTTAAATATAAAAATGGTATAAAATTAATTTAAATATATATATTTTGTTTATAAATGTATAATTTGATATTAATTTACACTAAAGTAATTATATCTAAAAAAAATACTAGCTGAAGATTGAACTTATTATTGAATGATTAAATAAATTATCAGTTTTTGTATATCTTTAATGTTAATGTATGATATTACAATCATAATAAAATATAAATTGGTTAAATTATTAGTGCCAAGTTTCTACTACACTTAACACAGGGCATTATCTCTCAACCTTTTTTCTAGTAGTACATCTCCTTTACCATAACATTTTAACCAGGAGAACAATTTAATAACCCCAGGAGAACAATTTAAGATTTTATAATCTACTGGTTGGAAAACTGCATAAATCCTTATAATTATTTAATATTCTGCCTACTATTCTTCACCAGTTAATGAATAAAAAGTTAAGTTATTTGAATCATTCATTTTTAAAGTTTAAGTATTCGATATCCTTATCAGAAATTGGAAATAAATGATTGATTGATCAACATTATTGATGTTAACTTCATTAATCATCTTTATTATTAGAGTTTATCTTGAAATAATTATCATCATCTGATTTGTAAGATGATAATTTATACTTTAATAAATTACTTTTGAAGTTATTAAACAGTTTATAAGTGATAATTGAATGATTTTAAAGCAAGTTTTATGCTACAAAATACAATAATTACATATAAAATTTTTCCTTCATCCAAAAACAAATGAAAATTCACATTAAATTGAAAAAATTCAGGTTTTAAAGCAATAAATTTTTAAAAATTTTCTAAATAAATGATTTTATTTCTATTGTCTTTCCTTCATTATAATTGCACAATTAAAATATGAGGATTATTTTAATAATAATCAATTAATAATTTACATAATGAAATCTAGAATTCAGAGAATTCATTAAATTATTTTTTAGTAATTGAATAATAAGTCAAATACATAAAATTTTATATAAAACACTTATCAAAGAAGCAATTTTTATATACAAATCTAACAAATAATTATTTTACTTTCAAAGACAAAAATAGTATCAAGTGTATTAAGATAAATTAATTATTTTACTTTATTAATAGAAAAATTCTTGTTATTTTTTCTAATATAAAGACAGAAATGGATGCAAGTTAAAAGAGTAAAGTCATCATCCCTTTCTCTAATCACTAAATTTACTTAAAAATATTTTACGTAATTTCAATACATATTTCTCTATATTTAAATAAAATATTCTTTATTTTCAATAATTTATTCAATATAAACATTAAATTAATAAAGAAAAGTCATATTCAAAAATTATAAAGTATTTTTAGAAATAAACTTTTAATTTTCTTAATTAAATAAAATGAAAATTTATTATAGATCTAAAACTTTTATCATAATATCAAGAGTTTAATTTAAGATGTTTTACAATAAATTTGGAAAATTTTCAGCTGAAAATTATCAAATATACAAAATATTATAAGCATATAATGTATACATATATAAGAAAATGCTTAAATTATTTTAATTTTATTATATTTAATTAAATAAAACAGTTACAAAAATATTTCAATAGTTTTGAGCATGCTGATAAAGAAGAGATAAAAATTTTTTATGATATGATTGATTATAACTTTAAATTAAAAAATAAAAATTGATAAACAGAAATAAAAAATTGTTTTCAAAATTATGACATTAATTCAATAATATTTAGAGCGGAAAATATAGAATACAAACAAGGAATTATGCTATTGGCAAATAAGGTATAACAGACAGTATTTTCTGATGAGAAAAGTTTACAACAATCTCAATATCATTTCAAATCTTCAAGCGGAAAACTTCAGTTCACAATATGATAAAATTATAACCTTACTCACTCTTTCCAGCAGATAATTTCAGTCTTGCATTAACATTTTCAACTTTCTTGAGAAGTCTTCCTCAAGACTTTACTATCTTTAGAGGAATTTTAATATCATCCTTAGTATATTTTGGAATATGGTATTTCCTCAATGGAACAAGGATTTCCTGAATAGGATATTTTGTAATATGTTATTCAGACTGGCTATTTTTGAAGAAATTTTCCATTCATTAAGAAAATTTTTATTAATTGACAATAATTTAATTAAATTTAAAGGCAAATGTTTATTTTGTAATAGAGGAAATTCCCTAAAACATAATTTGTGATTGTTTAAAACTGACAAAAATTTGTGAAAAAAACAGTATAAAATTTATAGAACCTCCCCAGTAATGAAATTAAATAAATTATCAGTTTTTGTATATCTTTAATGTTAATGTATGATATTACAATCATAATAAAATATAAATTGGTTAAATTATTAGTGCCAAGTTTCTACTACACTTAACACAGGGCATTATCTCTCAACCTTTTTTCTAGTAGTACATCTCCTTTACCATAACATTTTAACCAGGAGAACAATTTAATAACCCCAGGAGAACAATTTAAGATTTTATAATCTACTGGTTGGAAAACTGCATAAATCCTTATAATTATTTAATATTCTGCCTACTATTCTTCACCAGTTAATGAATAAAAAGTTAAGTTATTTGAATCATTCATTTTTAAAGTTTAAGTATTCGATATCCTTATCAGAAATTGGAAATAAATGATTGATTGATCAACATTATTGATGTTAACTTCATTAATCATCTTTATTATTAGAGTTTATCTTGAAATAATTATCATCATCTGATTTGTAAGATGATAATTTATACTTTAATAAATTACTTTTGAAGTTATTAAACAGTTTATAAGTGATAATTGAATGATTTTAAAGCAAGTTTTATGCTACAAAATACAATAATTACATATAAAATTTTTCCTTCATCCAAAAACAAATGAAAATTCACATTAAATTGAAAAAATTCAGGTTTTAAAGCAATAAATTTTTAAAAATTTTNAATCTTGCTAAACAATGTATTATTATCTGTTGATGTCATTTTGATTAAGATATTAAATGATAAAAATCATCAAATATTTTTAAATTAATCTATTAAATCTGACATTAGATATGCAAAATCTAATATTTTCTATGAATTAAATTACTAAATACTTTGAACTTCATATTGAATATAATTGTTTAATATATGAAATTATATAATAAATATTAAGGAAAATATTCTGAAACAAGATAATTTAAGTCAAGAAATGAAGAATCCAAGAAGAAAACTTTTTTGGATAATTTACAAGATAATTAATTTATTGTGATTAAATTTATAATGTTTATGTATGACCGATGGTTAATATATACCATATTGTAATTAATAAAGTCTTAATGCAATTATTGAATTTTATTTGTTCAATATAGGAATAAAATACATTGCTCCTGCTATGATTCTTGTTCCTGGAATTCAATAAAAATTAAAAGTTTATTTGATCTATTCTTCATATATATGAAAATTTACAAGTATTTTTACATAAAAAACTTGTTATAATATATCAGAAGATTGTCAATTTCACAAAAATAATTTCTAAATTGTAAGAGATCGCGATCTACTAATTGGGAAACTAGTATAGACAAATGCGTTTACAGACAATTCGTCCCGCCATCTGTCGGTATAAAATTTAAATAGACTATCAACTAATTTAAGACTTTGTAATGCCGCAGTTTCATCCAAATAATTTCTTGATAAATAATATAAAATTGTATTTATTTTATAAATCAAAATTATATATTGTTTAACAATGTAACTATTCCTAAAATAATAAAATCAAATATTTGCTTCATTCAGTATGAGTGACACATTCGAGTCAAGAAAATGCCCAAAATATTCGCTGTTAAAAAATTAATAATGATATTTCACTGAATAATAAATATAATGAAAGATCAGCTGTATGCTGTATATTAAATGGACTATGTTATTGGTTTGCTTGCCTAGCTGCTTGTTTCTTAGAAGCACTCAAAGTATTTTCAAAATATTTCTTAATACAAATTTAATTATGCTGTAAAACCATTTACAATTGTTGATAGTCCTACGAATTGAATAGGTCAAATATAAGAAAATTCTTCAGATGATATGTAGTGAATTTGAAGATTTTTCTGAAGGTTCCAACATTATCTTCATAGAATACAATGACAGGACCTTCATAAAAATCTTTAAATTTATACCTTAATATAGATGTTTTGTATTGCTTTTAAATATTAACAAGGAAAATTATTTTTACTAAATTTTTCAACAAATGGAGGACTTGGGTATAAAATACTTAGCTACGGGAGATTGCTGTTTTCAAATTCAATTCACTTCCACTTCATTGGACGATCAGAAGCTAACCTTTATCCGGGAAGATACAAAATAATAATAATAATAAAAGTAAAGAATAATAAGTTACTAAATAGTGTAACATATTAATTATTGCTTTTATAAACTTAAAGAACCGTAAATCAACTTTTGTAACATTTCTAAATGGTATGATTACATTTTTATGTTTTCTGATAAAGTATTTCGGTTAAAATTCAATATTCTTTATTTCTGAGATGACAAAAGTTCTCTGAATAAAATCACACTTTAACAGTTGGTAACATATCAGTTCAAAATTGTAGGGGCTGTCCATAAATTACGTAACGCCGACATGGATGGATGAGTATGCAGGTAATCGTTATGATACGATATAAGAGCTTTACTAAGACGTTAGATAATATTGGGGTCTCAATTATTGGGTAACAGAATGATTCATTTTGTTTTTAAAGTGTTGTATAGAGAACCGTACTGTTTATGTCACTGCTTTGTACGTTATATATGTAATTAATGAAATGTAACGTTCAGTATCCCTTGCTGTGTATTGTACAAATTGAGGGGTTGATCGAGAATGTGATACGTAATTTTAGGGATGGGATTGTGCGACAGTATTACAGGCCTGGGTTAGACAGTAATTGAAAATATAAAATTAGCGTTATGTAATTTATAAAAAATCAAGTATAAAAAGAGAATGAGTTGCTCTTTCTTTTTTAACTTTAACTTACAATTTTATTGGAAAATTTATATTCTGTGAAGTTAAATATTAAATAGTAAATGAATTTTTCAAAACAATTCAATTTATTAAACGATAAACAACACTATAACCTTTTTGGGTTTGCAAAACTACAGAAAGATATGTAACAAGAAAAAACATTTACAAGATTTATTTACGGTTTCATCTCTGTAATTTTTGGCGAAAATTTAAATTTACAATTCGCTAAACTTATTTTTGTAGAATAAGACATAATTCAGGAAAATTTTATTTTAAGTTGTTAATGTTTTTTTTTGTAAAGTCCTTTCTACTGAAGCTATCAAAAAGGAGCCACCAAAAGAGAGGCGAAATCCCTCTCGAATGAAAATCAAACATGGACCCACATAGAGGCAGTTGCAGCATCTACGGGCAAATCTGTTATAAGATAACATACATCCATGTCGGCCATGAAGGCATACAATGTATGCCTTCATGGCCGACAATATTGCCTCATATATCCAGGCAGAAGAAAGTTCAGTAGATTTCAATGTCCCTTCTTGGTTAGTAACTTTTTTGTGAACGAGAGTATTGCAGGAGATCTAGATTGAGTTAAAGCTTGGATTCCCATGAAACAGACGCCATATCCATGTTACATTATTAACCACAGAAATATCGTAGTGATAAATATTCAATATAGTGTAAACCATCCGAGGCTGGTTGGAAGTCTGTACATTGTATACATCTTGCAATTTGATAACATTTGATATAGATCTGGAGATGCATTGAAAAAATAAATATACAGGACCACTAAGAGGACCTTTTCCATACCTATTATGAGTTTGGACAGGCCCACAATGGGAACGACCGGAAATGAGAAACGGGATCCGACTTGTCCAGAAAGAATCGACTATGAAAAATTCTTAGGATTTTTGACTGTCCTGATTCGATCTAGGATCCACCAGAGTGGTAGACTGATACCTTGGCCATCCGGCCATCAATATGAGATAACTGATAATTCAGCCATTACAATAATTAGTACTGTAGCTGAATTTAATGTTTTAGAACATAAATAGAGTTATGTATAACATAATATAAAATTGAAGTTCCGAATAGGAAAAAAGCCTCAAGAATCATTTGGTCCAAATCTTAGGCTCGAACTGAATCCAAAATTTCATATTTTTTTGTAATATAAATTAAATTTTTTTATTTATTTCATTCATTTATTTATATATTTCTATGGTTTTCAAAGAAAGATGTGAACCATATTTGTAACTGGCTTGAGCCCTTTTATTTCTTTAGGACCCTGTTAATGTGACAATAGTGAATTGACATAAATCTATATCAAACAACTGTGTTAAACGCTTCTTTAGCCACAGTCTTGACATACTTTTTTTGGATCATTGAACAATTTTCTTTTCATAGCAGCTGAATTGAATAATATTAAATATTTGATATGAAAAATACAACATAATTTCTATATATATGCTNTACGTGTGCTGATCTTTGTAATTATAAATTGTGAATACATGTGACTAATATTATTTTCTTTTTTATTTTGTGCATGTTACAAGTTATAAATAAATATAAACAAACAACACTAACTCAATAACATTAAATCTAAATACCAAAACGATTAATTTACTGTGTTTGTGTTATTTCTTACTCCTGTTTTTAGGTATTAGGTTTCGGCCGAATAGTGATTAAATATTCGGTATTTGGCCGAATAGTGAAAAATAGGCCGAATACCGAATAGTAACTGAATATTTGTTACATCACTAATATATATACTTTATATCTATGATGAAATAGTTCAAACATCTTTTCAATGTTTGTCATTTAAAAAAGAAAGACAATGATATAAATTAAATATAAAAAGTGTAAAAGTAATGCTCTACTTAAAATGTATCAGTAACATAAGCTAAATGATTTCACTTCAGATCATTTTTACAAGAGATAAACAAATAAATACATTTTTTAATATAAATATAGAATATTAAGTTCAATATTCTGTCACCAAACGATAAAATTTTAGCAGGGGGCGCGGTTTTCCAAAATGGAAACGTGTATAAAGTCACGTGTATATCGTTTCCAGTTAAAAGCCGTTTTATTTACGTGTCAATTTTTTTTATTATTTAAATTTTGAATTTTAAACTTACCTTAAAGGTAAACTGTCATTTAGTAGATTGAAATTGGTGCGTTAGTATACGGATATTAATAAAAATGGAAGATGAAGTGATTCGAGTTGGATCTAGAAAGAGTCAGGTAATTTCAATCAATTTCAAAATACTGCAGGAAAAACCACTTGATTACATAATATTTAAAAATTAAATATTATTCATTATTATGGGTATTGTAATTAAAATACATTATACTTAAACAATGGTGAATATGATAAACTTGTGTTGATTTTTATAAAATAATAAGTAAATAAAGATCTTCACTTTTTATTGTATAATTTATAAATAAGGAAAACAGTAGTTCCGGGAAGCCATTGAGAATCATACATAAGAACAATTTAATGATTATTATGTTTTGAAATATGCAATACAACGTTAAGTATATTTAAAACAGTGTTTTGCTGAAGAAATATTTGATTAAGATTAGTTTTGAGCAAACTTTACGCCTCAGTTCAAAGTACAATTACTGTATTACTTGTACAATATTAAAATACAATACAATAAATTACAATTACTTGTGGTGTGTTCGTGAAAGAAATATTTTACTTTTATCTGTATTTCAGAGCCTTTGTGAAGTTTGTCACAACTTCTTTTCTATATTTCTCTCTGTCTCCCTCCACATTGTCAAATGCTGGGAGGTTCTTGCACAACTCTGTATAAGAATATATGTAGTATACATCTCAATCTTGCAGAAAGTCAAAACGATAGAAATTAAGATTTTTTTCTCATTCTGGTATTTATTTATTGATTAAATGTACTTTTGACAATATGGTGAAGGGCTGAGGACAACAGCTTGATTTTTCAACATATAGCAGTTGGGGAAGCAAAGTAGCTTTGAGCAGCAAGGTTGTTAAGTGCAGGAAGCTGGAGATTTTTCCCTGGAATTGGAGAAAACTTAGGGGCCTGTCTGATTCCATTCTGTATAAAATTAACATTAATTTTATTACTAGAAAATAAAATCTGTAAGGCCAATTTTTATTAATAAAAAAACATTCTATATACTTCATTTGTTCAAAAAATAAAAGCCAAAAAGGGCTTTCTCTACTCTTGGCCTGTATGAGTTATCAACAGCCCGGTGGGCAGTGTTAACTTTTTGAACTCATTTAAGATTATCTTGCAATTGTTCTCTAAGCTACTAAATCATTGAGAGTTTTTTATAAATTGTAACAATGTGGAAAATGTTGATCAAGATCATGATATTTTGATAATCAATGCAATAAAATGATAGTTTGAGAATCAATGGAGGTAAGAAAAAATAGTGTTATTGGAATAAAATATGTACAGGAAAACAAGGGTAATGGAAAGATTGCAATGAAGAATGCAAAGAATGCAATTATATAATAATATATATATATTATATATAANTATTCAGAAGCTGTGGATAAACCAAAATCACAGGATTACAAAGGAAGAGTAACATATCTTTAAATTAAATTGTTTTTTTCTAATTTGACAATTGCTCCTCCTCATCTTTTTTTAATATCGAATTAACGAAATTTGGTAATAACTATATCGTACAGATTTATAGATAAAGACGTAACGCATTACTCTTACTCCTGAAAATCACTTAGTATTTGCTGGGAAGTTATCTTACAGGCTTGAAGATCTTTCACTCTTCTATTAATTACTACTGTTGCATTAGTAACAATTGTATAGTATTATAAGTTATCGCTGCTGTTCATATTTTACAATATAATTAATGAATGTTCTATGAAAAGATAATTGCTTATTAGCCTACTAGGCAACTTCTCAGCTAAACGGTGTGTCTGAAGGTAAGTATCCAGCTTTTGATTCTATGACTGTATAGACAGAAATTACCATAAAAATATGTTTGATTAATAAATATTTGACTCTAACTGGTTTTTTTATTCAGAATAATTGAAAAAATGTAAGAATTCGGGTAAAAACCTCGATTTTTATCGTCCTCTTCTAATTTTGTAGCTCTTAAATGGTAAATAATGTCTAGAAAACTCATCAGATTTGACTAAATTTTCTAACAACATCCTACATATTTACCCTCAAACTATAATTAAAATTTTTTAAAAAATAATTAGAAAAATTCATTTTAATGTATTCAAAATTATCATTTATTTACGCATATTTTAATAATATTTTTGGTATTTTAATTAATTTATAATAAACTTTAAGTCGAGTAAATAAATTATTAGTCAATGCTTAATTTTACATCTTTAACTTTAAAGCATAATTTAATAGATTAAAAATAAAATAATTTTAAATAAATTCAAGTACATAGGTCCAATATTTAGATTTAAATATATTTTTATCTTTAGTATCAAATATATTTTTTTTATAAAAACCGTTCAATAAACTATTCAATGTCATTATTATTGTCACAAAATCATAGACTTTATAATCTATAAGGTTAATAAATGATATAGTTTCTTAGGAAACTTTCAAACTTCAATCAAGATGTAATATTATCAAACAATTCGGAAGAAAATTTATTATTTTTTCTAAGATTTCAAGCTTCATCTAAAAAATAAGAAGAAATAAAACCCTTCATGGATTTAAAATTTTTAGAAGAATAATTTATAAGCAATTATTTTAATNGTTGTAATGAATAGTATATTCGGCCTCAGGCCGAATCCCGAATATTCGGCCAAACTATTCGGCTTGATTAACGCACGTATGAAAATTGGCGCACAAACTGCATTATGGCAAGGATCCTGCTCTCTATTGGCCCGCTATCACTACGCTTCGCCAATCGCTTTAATTCTTGGCAGTTGTAGCGGACAGACAAGAGTGTCATGGAAGTATGTGATAAATGATATCAAATGTGAATAACAATGAAATGACCTACACGTGTAAATAACGGAAAAAGAACAGAGAAGGATCGCGAAGTGAAAATGTGAAAATAAATATGAAATTGAGTTGACAACATAATCGAACAAGTCTAGGCAGCTTATTGGCACAAAATTCGCGGCCGTCAATGCCAAACAATTGTTGTCATAGACTTTGGAAAGCTAAATGCTTGTAATGAAAGTCACTTAGCATGCATTGGCAAAAGCCTGGGGCCATTCGGGCTATCAAGCTGTCTCGAATGTGTGAAATCATAACTGTGACTTATATCGACGCTCTATCTGTCTCTTTTCTCCGTTATCACCAGGCTGAGTCACGTAATTGTAAAATGGGAACTCTACGACAGAAAAGTGACGAATCAAAAGTATCGTGAGCGCGTATTATGATGTATGCACATGCATACATGGATTAGAGCGATAGAGGAAAGAGAAAGGGAAGAGCAAAGACGAGTGCTTAAAAAGAAGGATAGGCAGGGTCAGACCCTCAGATGTGCGAGGATTCTCCAACGATAGACGTGTACGTGTGCTGATCTTTGTAATTATAAATTGTGAATACATGTGACTAATATTATTTTCTTTTTTATTTTGTGCATGTTACAAGTTATAAATAAATATAAACAAACAACACTAACTC